AACTACTCCATGAAAACTGCATGTTGAGATGTTCGGTAATTTCTTCCTTTTGGATTCCAGGCAAAGCCAAGGCTGTAGCAGCATGAACAGTGGACATGAGAGAGCTCACCCGAAGGGTTTCCATCACACAGGTGGCTCTTAGCTACCTGAGTGCTCCCTCTTCTCTGACTCTGCTCTCCCCTGCCCGGGGCTGATAGCTTTGCACAAACCAAAGCCCAGCCACGTGTCCTTCCCCATCTCCAGCTCCCCTAATAACAGCTTCTGCTCTAAGGTGCCACCCCCCAACATCCCAACATGGAGTCTCCGTGTGCTCCTGGAATGCTTTAAAGGGAAAAATCAAAGCGCCATGAAGGTGATAGAATTGTCGGAAATACAAGACATCAACGGGTAAATTGTGAGATTTCAGTCATGGAATGTTCCGTAACAGGGTACAAATCACATATTTTTCAACAAGACGACAAAGAGAAATAAGGAAAAGCTATCAGTGCCATCTTGTGGAAAGACCTATATTAAAATGTCCAAGGTAATCTGGCCACACCCAGATCATGTCGAAATCTCCACTCAATGCTGATGATGTGCAGCCAAGGGACGGCAGGATGGCTCCACTCTTCGTTTACAGCAATGGAGCTGATTGGTGGATGGTCCATTCTGATTGCCTACTTCTTGTGCTATGGCAGTTATTAAATAATTTGTATAGCATCCCTCACTATACGAATACCACAGAAACCCCCATAGCTCCAACACCACACACACACACACACACACACACACACACACAAAACCCACAGTCAAGCTGTCTGCCTCAATCCTCTATACAACATGACTCTCCAAATGTGGGAACTTTACATTGACCTATCCCAGCACCTCATCCCCAACAAATGTAAACATATGTGGACCACAGGTGCTTATGGTATAACTTTCTCTTGCAAAAACAAAGTTGATTTTATTTCACTTCTTGAGTTGATTAGAAATTATTTCTCCTCCTTTATTCTATCTGAATATTACCTTCATATTAGTTACCTGTTGTTGCATAAAAATTATCCCAAATTTGATGGCTTAAAATAATAAATAATTATTATCTCATAGTTTCTGTGGGTTAGGAATTCAAGAGCAGCTTAGCTGGGTGGTTCTGGCTCAGGGAATCCATGAGGTTACTGTCAAGATGCTGGCCATCTAAAGTCTCGATGGGGCTGGAGGATCCACTTCCAAAATAGCTAGCTCCCTCATGTGACATTGGCATGAAGGCTCAGTTCCCCACCACATAAATCTCTCCACAAGGCTCCTTGAGTGTCCTCACAACATGGCGGCTGGCTCCTCCAAGGCAAAAACCACAAGGTCTTTTATGACTTAAGAAGTCACATGCCATCACTTCCACCATATCCTACCAGTTACACTTCTATCAGTGTGGGAAAGGACCAGACAAGGTAGGAGGTGGTTCACTGGGACCATCTTGGAGGTGGGACATCACACCACCCCCCTTCCTATATCCAATTTCCAAATCATCAGGTTCCAAGTGTGAAATGTGTTTACACAAAGGAAGATCAGCCTACTTAAGACACTGAGAATTCTGACTGCAGTCCAAGGGCCCCAGGAAACCAACCGCAAGCAATCCTTTGCCTTGATGGGATACAGAGGCCGGCTTGGAGCAAGGAATTCTCTGACTCTGGCTTCACCTCTAACTGCCACTGGCATCAAGCCAGTCTGGGAACTGGAAACAGAAATAGGTCCAAACATTTTTATGGACTGGGGAAGGGGGAGCTAGGATGTCCCAAAACTGTTCTGTTGAGCTTGTCAAGGAAAGTTACTTCTACTGTATCACGATGGAGAGAACAAAACAGAAGACAGGAAGACTCCTGTCTTCATACGACTTTTCTGGTGGTTCTTACCCAAGCTTATCTTTCCCCCACCGACTTCTTTAGTGCTTATTATTTTTATTGCACAATTAACTTTTTAATATATATTATCTGATTGTCTTTGATGAGTAATTTAGTGCTTTATTATATGTTATGAGAACAATTACATTGGAGTCTAAATCCTCTCAAGTATGTTGTAAATTCCTTCAAGTCAGGGAAATTAAGCTTATTACTCAGCTCACCATCAGTGTCAACAGACTGTTCTCCAGGAATGTGTTCCCCTCAACATACTCACATACGGGCATTCACGTACACCCACAATCCCACACACACAGACGACAGAAGAGGAGCTCGACAAAGAGCAAGGCTTATTTATCCCTTATTACAAAAATAGTAATTAGACTTAGCCAGGATCATACTGATGCAGTCATTATTTCCTTAAAAGCACAGACACGTAAAGAGTGCACCTTGAGAAGGTGCTACATGATACCCTTTATGGTCCACAAACTCATGCACTGAAGAAGAGACACATCGTGCATCGTCCCATAGTCCTGGAGACTCACATACACCCCCAGAAATGTGCATTCACAGTTTCGCCTATGCATTCCTTTTTTTTTTCCTTCATTGGCTCTTTTAACATTTTTGAGCACTGTGTATCACTCCTACACTAAGAGGTAACCCCAATCCAATAAAGTAACTGGGACTACATATTTATACAAGGTGAGAAGTGAGCACAGAACAAGGCAAAATCTTCTTGAGGGTCAGGTAACACTTTATAGAGGAGAAAGGAAAGGATGATCAGTGTTGAATTGGCTGGGGGCGGTGTGCTGTGCGCTGACACGCTTAAGTTACAGAGGTCTGAGCCAAAAAACCATCACAGAGTGGTTTTCCTTTCAGTTCAAGACTCCCAGGCCCAAGACAAAAAATTAAATAGCACCCTTGACCATGGGACACAGCCCAAGGCAAGGACACTGGGCCCTTTTCACCCAGGCTCTGTTGGAAGGGAGGGGCACAGCTGTAGAGAAGAAGGAAACTCCTACAGAATGAGCCAGCTAACCTTTCTCTAAAGGAGGTCCAGGCAGGTGGAAGGATGCTCTCCTGCCCATGCAGAGACCTGCACAAGTGGAAAGTCACAGTCAGGGGCTCAGGAGAGAAGAGAATCTCTGTCTCCAGCCCCAGAAATGTCTTCCCTCTGAAAAAGATAGGCCTTGAGGTAAGGAGGCAAGGAAGTGCATGGGGTGTGGGGAGTGATGTGGGAAGTTTTTCTCTAATGAGTGAAGGCAGCAAAGAAAGGAGAGCAAGACAAAGGGACCAAGAAAGGTTCAGCTTGGAAGAAGCACATGCCGGAGTCTTGTCTCCAAAGTCAGGGCAGCCAGAAACCCTGGGGAGCCACAGCAGGCAAGGAGGGTAAGGAACGGATGCGGATGGGCAAGAAGATTGATCAGGAGTTGGTGGGAAATGGGACTGGCAACAGGAAGGGCCTCCTCAAGGCTCAGATCGCAGGGAAGGGGAGGCAAGAGGGGATCGCGCAGCTCCTGGCACCTGGCGAGGGTAGGTGGAGGCAGCGCTTCAGCCTTGTCTCGTTAACTGGTAAGCGGATTTTCCACAGGGTCAGGGGAGCCTCCGAACTTGGCGGAAGAAAAATTCCTTTCCATTTTACTGGAACCAGAGCTTTAAATGGTCAAATGCGTGTCAGTGGCAGGTGGGGACAGGGGAAGGGAAGTACATCTTTATGGCTAAGTGCCCTGGGCTTGGATTCAGAGAGGCCTTGGCTTGCCAGCCCAGCCACAAACCAGTTGCGTGTCCTTGGCCAAGTTAACCAACTTGTCTAAGCCTCAGATTACATGTGTACAAAAAAGACACAAAAATATGGTCCACGTGTTGTTCTTCCAGAAAGCCTTTGGCGCAGGGCCTGGTACATAAGCAAATTCAACAAGGGTTAACTATTTTCATAATTATAATTAGTCTGCATCACTAGGAGCATATTGTTCAAATGAGGATACCGACGGGTCAGATCACAGCCAAGACGCTGCGTTCAGAGCTAGGTCTCTACCTCTACAAACAATACCAGTGAACTCTGGTCTCCCCATGAGAGGGTGACTCAGAGAGCCTGGAAGTCATAAAATATTAAGAGAAATCCTGCAGTTGTTTACACAGATGATATTTGGGAGTGTGAGGATGGCCATGTGAAGAGGCAGCATCCTTCCATTTAACTTTAGGAAATAACACTGGGCGTTAAAAATGCCGGAGCCAGGCTGTCCGGTTTCAAATACCCAGACCATTAGTCACCTCGCTCAAGTTCCTGAACCTCTCTGGAGCCTCAGTTTCCTCATCTGTAAAGTAGGGTTAATTAGATTACCTGCCTCATGAGATTACTGTGGCAATTAAGTGAGTTAACACAGGTAAAGTGCTAAGAATGGTGTCTGGCATATGGCGAATGCTCAATAAACGTTCATTCTTATGTCGTGGGTTATTATCACTGGTCTATAATTACTATCGCGGATAGAACTTCAGGGCGGCAGATGACAGCCCAGTATTTTTTAATAATCCCAGCAATGGAAAATGAGAAGAGTCCTCCGCACAGCGGCGATCGCCCTCACTGGACAGGTTCAGCAAGTCACTGATAAGGGCCAGTCCGTCACCGCAGAGGAGGTTCCTCCCCCGAGGAGGAACCCTTGGGCGTCCCCGGTGAAGAAAGTCAGACCCCAGGAGGCCAGGCCCTGGCACAGCAGGGGCCGTGGACACTGGTGTAATAACGGCCACCAGCCGTCAGGGAGCAGCAGAGCCCGACCCCGGGTTGCCTCGTCCGCACCAGGCGATTCATCGTTCCCTCTGGGTTTGCCTCCCGGCCGTTTGGGTAGCTCCACCAATCCCCGTGCGCTCCGCTGCGGTAGTCCCGCCCAGTGCTGAAACCGAACCAATCAACGAGGGCGCTGCTCCGGACCGGGGCCGGATCGCGGCGCCCGTCCCGTCACTCAGAGCCCCGGGGCCGGCGCTTCAGCCCCGCCCCCGGGGCGGCTCAACCAATCCCCGCGGCGGAGCGGGGCGGCGCCGGACGGGGCGCGGAGCCCACGTGGTCGCAGGGCGCGGGCGCCGGTGGGTGGCGCGGGGCACGAGGGGGCGGGCGGGGCGTGTCCTGCCGCCGCCATGGGCGTGCAGCCCCCCAACTTCTCGTGGGTGCTCCCGGGCCGGCTGGCGGGGCTGGCGCTGCCGCGGCTCCCCGCGCACTACCAGTTCCTGTGGGACCAGGGCGTGCGGCACCTGGTGTCCCTGACGGAGCGCGGGCCCCCGCACAGCGACAGCTGCCCCGGCCTCACGCGGCACCGGCTGCGCGTCCCGGACTTCTGCCCGCCGGCCCCCGAGCAGATCGACCGCTTCGTGCGGATAGTGGACGAGGCCAACGCGCGCGGGGAGGTCAGCGGGCGGGGCCTGCCGCGGTCAGCGGGGGACAGGGCGGGGGGAGGCGGGCCGGGCCCGGAAGGGACCTGCGGGGACGGGGCGTGAAGCCGGGGGCGGGAGGGGGAGGCCGCGGGGAAGCGGCGAGGGGTGTGAGCTGGAGGGAGACGGGGGAAAGCAGAGGCCGTTGGGCGCTCTCCTGATGTCACTTCTCGCCCCTGAGCGCTCTCCTGATGTCACTTCTCGCCCCTGAGCGCTCTCCTGATGTCACTTCTCGCCCCCGAGAGCCTGAGGACCCTGCAAGGCCTGGGCCTGTAGGAAGACAGAGGGGCCCAAGGGCTGGGGAGGGCATCAGGCTCCACCCCATCAAGCTCCCTCTTCCCAGGCCGTGGGGGTGCACTGCGCCCTGGGCTTCGGCCGCACGGGCACCATGCTGGCCTGCTACCTGGTGAAGGAGCGGGGCCTGGCTGCCGCAGATGCCGTCGCTGAAATCCGGCGCCTTCGACCCGGCTCCATCGAGACGTACGATCAGGAGAAAGCCGTCTTCCAGTTCTACCAGCGGACTAAGTAAGGGGCCTCAGCTCCTGTCTGCGTCCCGGGCCCTGACCCATGTGTTCAGTGGGGCCAGAGACACGGACGTGCACTGAAAGCTAAGCCCCCCGGCTCCTGCTGGCTCGGGAGACTGAGTAGCTGTTCCCCGCAGGCCGGTGCCGACTGAGCAGCTGGGTGCAGCCGCACTGGGGGCTGGGGGCGTCCCTCTGCTGCTTCCCTGAATAAATAACTTCTAAGAACCAGCCCATAGTGCATAGCACCTTGCAGTTTACCAAGCATGCCCACACGTCAACAAATGTGAGCCTCACCAGAGCCCTGTGACCTGGGATGGCAGCAAGACCACCCTGCTCTTTGGGTGAGGTAGCTGAGGCTCAGGCCCAAGGCGACACTTGTAGGAAGTGGAAGGGTGGGCCAGGCCTTCAGCCTCCCTAAGATGCTGAGACTCTCGTGTTCTCTGCTGACCTTTGATGTGTCCCCGGGGGAGCTGGTCAATGAAGAGGGCCCAAATCCCCAGCAGCCCCGGGTGACTGATGCTAACAGGCCAGGAGAGCCCCTGTGGACACAACCCCCCAGTCCAGGCCCCCCTGCCCCTCGTGTGTCATCGTCTCGAGACAGAGAAGGCCTGCATGTTGTCCTCACAGATAGCCACCATCTCCAGCTCCCAAGGGCTGGACACCTTGGGCTGCTCAGCTCCCCTGTGACACGCATTCCAGATGCAGTGGAGACGGAGGGAGGAGGCCAGGGTCCCCCTGAGGCCCCCATCCTGCGTAGCCTAGGCCAAAGGCAGGCCTAAGGCACCTGCTCCTGACACATCTTTCTCCTTTCCACAGCCGCCCACCCAACTCAGCCCCCATCCAACACTCTCTCACACGCTATTCCACCAGCCAGAGTCTCACCGTTTGTCTCCGGGAGGGGGAGACAGGCCGCAAGACGTCTCCCCCTTTCCTCTGAGGTGTGTCAGAGCCGAGGACTCCATACTCCATCCTATCCCCTTGGTCCCCACCACCAAGCCAGGCGGGGTGTGTGAGGAACCCCCAACTCCAGGCACGGAGGCCCCCGCACCCCACCTGCTGCTCCCGGCAGCATCCCAGGCTGTTTGTTGGTGCAGACCAGAGCCCCGTCCAAAGGGGAGTGTGTGTGAGTGTGTGTGCGCGCGCGCGAAGGCAGGAAGCGTGCGGGTGGTGCGCTTCCTGAATCCCTTCCCTCCGTCTACCAGGGAGGCTTGAAGCTGCTCCCCGGGGTGCACGTCCGCCCTGATACCGCCCCAGCGGGTGGGACAACCAGTCCTCACCCTCGCTGCCCTCCCCTCCTCCCGCGCTCCCTCCTCCCCACATCTCCTGCACTGCAGGACAGGAACCTGCCCTTCGCTTCCTCCCAAGGCTCCTTCAAAGGAGACAGAACATTTTTCTAACCCCGTTAGAGCCCTGTGTGCAGCCTCCGTCCCCATAATTTAAGCAGATCTCCGCTGCCTCAGGAGTTCCTCCGGGAAATAAACATATAATTATGTGCTTAAGGAAATCGGTTTTTAAATAAGTAAGAGTTGACTTGAAATGAAAAACTCTGCCCTTACCCTTCTTCTACCTTGGGAGGTTAGCCTGAGGCTCCTTCTCGGCTCATCCCCACCCCCAGATGTTTCGCCTGCTCACCACCCCCTCTTCTGTGTGTGGCCACCAACGACGGGTTACAGGCTAGCCGTGACCCTTCCCCAGGCTACTTCCCCGAGGGGTGGGTGTGAGGAACGAGCCGCCTCCGCCGACACAGAACCTTCGCGCCGCCTCACACCGGAGCCTGTCAGCCTCACACCGCTGACATTTGGGGCCGGAGACCTCTTTGTTGTGGGGCCGTCCTGTGCGCCGTGTGGTGTTTAGCAACATCTCGCCTCTGCTCACTAGACGCCAGTAGCATGGCCCCCCAAAAAATGTGACAGCAAGAATGTTCCCAGACATGGCCAGATGTCCTCCAGGAGGACAAAGTTGGTCCCAGTCGAGAACCACTGCATCAAAGCAACAAAGCACCAGCTGCAACGGTAAAGCTTTCGTTTCCTCTGGGAAAGTGCTTGGGAATTTCTCCCGTGGATGCACACGTCTTGAGAGGGGAGAAAGGACCAAACACCATCAAACGCTCTCACCTTCTCGAGCCGTGCCCGGTACCCAGCCCCAGCCCGTCCGCTCTAACCAGGGCGGGTTTTCAAGATGGTGACAGCATTAACTTTCGACATTCAGGAGGGTTTTATTCTCCATGAGCGGCGGGGGGGCACAGCTGCGGTGATATGGACTCGCGCCCCCATGTCTTTAAAGTTCCATTCACGTTTATTCTCTGCACTGTGGCTTGAGTTCCCTGCCGAATGGAGGCTGTTAGATGGGGAAGACATCCCTCCATGTCATTCGAGTTCTGCAGCCAGCACCTCCTTGGTTCCTCTCCCAGAGGATTGTTCTGATGCACAAATAACTGGCATCAGGACAGGAGGGGCACCAGCCACTCTGAGACCCTTCCTCCCTGGCCTGGTCCTCCCGCCTCCACTTCACCCCCAGCAAGCCCACACACACGCGGGTTCTGCTCAGCGGGTCCTGGGTTCCGTGGCCACCTCCCAGGCCTGTGTCCCAGCACACAGCCCCCTGCTGCGGAGATCAGCCTGCATCCTGCCCACTCCCCAAATCTCCCTTGGAGCTCGCATTCCTCAGCACCCCTACTGCCATCCCTAACACATAGGGACCTGTCCCACGGGGCGGCTCATCACCTGTCCTCCCCAGGGGAAGGAAGCCCACTCCTCATGCACGGCGCCCCCACTTGCCCCCCAAGACCCCTCCAGATCTTCCCAGGGAACTGATGAGCATGTCACCGGGGCCGGGATTTGATCCAAATCATGAACTATTTCCCAGAACGAACTGCACTCGTTTGCCAAGCCTCCAGTCAAAACTTCTGCCGACAGTGTTGCCATTCTTTCCAAGAAGGACACTAATTTGGTCTCACAGGATCATTTTGTCACGAAACAATGCCAGTGACCGCTAATGCCTTTCACACTTGGTCGTGACTACTTTGTTTAGTTACATGGTTACAATCGTCATATTTATGAAGCGCCTACCATATAGCAGGTGTTCTTACGTGCATCGCATTATATCATTTTATCCTTACAACCGCTCTGCAAATCAGGTATTTTTCCCTTTTTATAGATAAACTGAGGTTCATCGAGCTGGCTGAGTTGCCCAGTACCTCACAACTGCAGTGAAGGACCTGGGGTCAAATCCAGACGTCCCATCTGCCAGGACCAACCCCCAGCCCCAGCGACACGGGGCAGTCTGTCTTCACAGTCAGAGCTTGGCGTCGAGGGCCATCTTATCAACTCAGCCTCCGATGTCCCCTCTCTCCATCCTCCTAGGAGGCCAGAGAATAAACATCTGACTGAGGCCAACACATCTGAGCTCTGGGCGGTGCTTTAAGATGCAGCCCAAGCATTTACATCCTGAATAGTGAGGCTGATGCATCAGGTGACTCTGTCACGTCCACCACTACCTAACTCAGAACAGGCATTGTCCTCACCCAGCACAACAATCTTGAGGTACACGTGAACGGCACTAAGCCCTTGCAAATGTGTTTTTGTGTCTGATGATTTATTAAAAACTCCAATATCCTCTCTGGTTTTGTTGTTATTTGAGCCCTTAATGCGCTCCAGGCTCCATGCCAAGTGCTCTATAGACATTCATTATCTCACTTAATCCTCAAAACAACCCTACGGACAGGCCTTATTATAATGCCCAGGGCACATGTGAGTAAACTGACGTCCGGAGGGTTTGAGCAGCACGCCCAGTCACATAGCTAGAGCAGGATTCAAACCTGGGTTTATCTAAGTACAAAATGTCTTGTCTCTTGGGAGTGGAGAGGAGCCTTCGCTGTCAGAAAGCACGCAGCAGCATCTGTGTCCCCCAGAAGCGAGGCACCAGGACTCAGGCCATCAGTGGGATCTGGGATCACCACCCCACACCAGACTGGGGCAGTGCCGCTCTGACCTGGGAGTGCTGAGTGCTGACCTGCCAGGCCGGCCACCACCCCAACAGCCTTCCGCTTCAAGCCTCCCGCACCATCAAAACTATAGTCCCCTATCGACTGAGAAATGAGTTATATGAGCACTTCTTCCATTACTTTTAAATTTTTCCCCAGCTATTATGGATTCAAGGCATACTCCTGAGAAGGCAGCATGCTTGTCCAAGCAAGCAGAAATTTGAGAAACACTTGGTGCACGTCCACACCTGAAGTTGATGACTTATTTGCAACCTTGATAACCGAATCCTTTGTGCCAATAAATTCCTTAAATTGCTTCAACCACTCTCTCACCCTATTTTTCCCTTGACTTATTCTGTCACCATGGTTATGTGATCATGAAACAGATTGGTGATGTCACCTCAGAGCTTTCAATATGTGGGATTCAGTATGGCAAACGGTTCTGGGATTCTCCCCCTACCTTTTATACTAAAGATGCCACTGTCTCTTCCTTACTAATATATATGGAGTAGGGACTCTGCTCTAAAACCAAGGTGGGACGTACGGACAGTACTCGGTGTGGCTGTCCCACAGGTGGGTGGCACTCTTCACCTCCTGCAGTGGGTTCTACGTGCCCTTTGGCTCCCTAAGCCTACTCCAAGCAAATTCACCAATTTGCATGTTTTCTGTAGGCACCTTTGTGAGGCTGAGTTGGGGCTGGGTGCAGCCTCGGGCCATGAAATACAATTAAATAAAGTAACCACACTGGGATCAAGCCAGCAGAGAGAACTATGCCATTTTTGACCATGACCTGTGAGGCCCCAAGGAATCCAGTCCCTTCTTCCATCTCCTTCCTCCCTCCCCTATAGCCCTTGTTCTCCCTGCTCTACCTGTTTTGGGGTCCCCAAGACCACCCTCACTAGAAGGACTCACGGAAAAGCTGTCATACTCTCAATGATGGCTCGTTTCGGTGAGATAATCAGCAAAGGGGAAGGGCAGACGGGGCAGAGCCCAAGCAAGCAGGCATGGGCTTCCAGGGGCATCACATGGACATACAGCTCTCCCAGCGATTGTGGAAACATATAAATATTGCCCGATGATGCAGTTCCCCCGAGCCTGGGTGCCCGGGTTGTTGTTGGGGGCAGGTCCCATGGGCACGCAGCCCCTGCAAGACTGACCTTGGCCACTCAGGCTGCAGCCCCAGAGGTCAGCCTTGACACTGCCTGGCCCCAAACAGCCTGGCACATACACAACCACACAGTGAGGACAGACCATCTGCCTGACCCAAGATCTAAGGTCCACAGAGACCTTCTTATCAGGCAGGATGTCCCAAGAGTTCAGCGATCACCTCGCAGGAGCCGGTTGAGGGGAAGGCCTGACAACCTTGGGCATGTGTAAGGTTTGGGCCAGCCAGCCTGCCGAGCGGACCTGGTCCCGCACATGGCTAGGCATTCTGCGCTCTCTCCACACGACAGTCAGGGCAGACTGCCTGGGAGGCATTTGTCCCCAACTCTGCCCAGCTCCCAACTCCCACTCCCCACTGGTCTCAGTTTAACACCATTTCCCCGGGAAAGGTTTCCAACGGCCCCCACATATACTCACACATAGTCCCAAAGCATCTGTCATTCTACCTCACGGGCCCTGGCTCACCTATGATTCATCTCATCGTTTAATGTCTTTCTCTCCTACCAGAGTCTAAAGACCCCGGCCAGGCTGCTAGCACCCAGCACGATGCCTGGCACATGGGCGCTCGGTAAACACGTGACAATGGGCCGACCATCTGCCCAGAGACAAAGAACTGGGCAGGATAAATCGGGGGGGCGCATCACCTAGTGGGGGATACGTGACATGTGCACACACCTCAGTGTGTCGCGAAGATGCTGTGCGTAAGTACTTAAGCACTGCTGGCGTGATTAAAGAGATAAGAGGAGTGTGTCTGGCCAGATTCAGGAAGTTGCTCCTTCGGTGGGAGGCGGACAGCAGAGTCGGAGAGCCTCAGGGAAATGTACCAACGGTGGGTGTTACCGAAGCCACTGGTGGTCTGTGTCAGGTGCAGAGTCCGTACAGGGAGGCTTGGAGAGGTGGCCAAGGTCAGTGGGTGGCCACGCGGGGCGGGGTGACGGGGGTGCTGGGAGTCCGTTGGCATGGAAGAGCTAAAGTCCTCTCCCAGGGAGCAACAGAAGACACAGGGTTGGACTCAGACGGTGGGGGGGGCCGCGGAAGCTCGTGCCCAAGGGTCAGGGTTGTATCTGATCACCAGCGTGGAGGTGCCATGAGCAGAGGACACCTCACTAGGCTCCATTTGTCCTAAGTTCCACCCTGACCGAATGGCCCCGTTATGAGCGGCAGGATGGTGCTTTATGATTTAACACTGCCAAAGAGAGACAAGGTCTCACCGCTGCTAATTTTTAAGACTTTTCAGAAGATGCGAGTTAAGTAAGGACCTGCTTTCCCTGCTTGCTGAAAGTTAATGACTTTAAAGCTTTGCCAAAGAAGGTAAAGGGGTTGTTAAGTCAGAGTGCTCGCCCTCTGGGCTTGCAGGTTATGATTTTTTAATGCTTTTCAAATGGGAAAGGATCTCAAGCGAGTGTCCTCCCTACATGCTGGAAATGTATCTTTCCGGTGGCAGCCGGCACGGCTCCCGAACACCCACCACCCTGCCTCATTCGCTGGCGTCACATCTCAAGGCTTGGGCTGTTGCCGTATCCCAGCTGACCCGATTCAGAGGTCGAAAGGGGTGGTGGCCCCGATGCTGCATTCAGTCCAGTGCCCTGGTATTTGTTCCTATTGTCCCAAGGCCAAGGGCGCCTTGTGAGCTCAAACTTTCTACCTCAGTTGTACCCCTTGCCCCCACCCCACCCTCCCATTATGTCTGTCCCCTGACCTGCAAACTTGTCTTCTTTTGGCCCGGTTGTGGTCAGTTTGTCAAGTACAGAGGAGCCAAGCGGACCGGATGGTATGTTCTCCAGCAGGTGCCGGGTATGGTGTGTGCCAAGGAGGAGCGGTGCCAGGGACTCCAAAGGCTGCTCCCACCACGAGAACACGCAGGTCCTCAGAGGAATCAAGGCAGCTGTGAACGCCAAAGCACCCCAAGCCCCAGAGCACCCTCGGCTGCCCGCCCCCAGCTGGAGACCTGGAGAATAACAGGCCAGCCTGAGACCCAGGGAGCCCTCTCCTGCCCCTCTCGGGAGCCTGAAGAGCTCAAGATGGAGCTAGGCAGGGACGGTGACGGTGGGCAGCCTCCACACTTTGCTCCTCAGTCCTTTGGATCCTGGATCTGGCCTGGCATGTGTGCTCAAAACCCTCCAGGAAGGGAAGGAGGCTGGGAATGCATGGAGAGCTCTAGGCCCATGCAGGTATCAGGCTGCACCCTTGAGAGCTTAAGGGTGACCTTCAACCCGCCCCAATCCACTTCTGCTCATCTGATAACCCAGAAGCCGCAAAGGAAATCATGGGGGGTGGTCAGAAAGGAATTAGGGAAATGCAAATTAAAATAGCAGTAAGATATGATTTTATATACATCCGGTTGGACACACACATACCAAGTCTCAAAACACCAAAGTTGGCAAGGCTGGAGGAAAGGGAACTCTCACGTTGCCGGAGGATATATAAATAGATGCAATAGCTCTGGAGAGCGATGTGGCCAGCTCACCGGAAAATTCCAGTCACTCCACGTCTATACGTATATTCTGGAGAAATTCTGCGTGTGAACAGCCTAGAACCACGTATGAGGAGGCTGTTCATTTATTCATTAAACTCAATATAATGTATTGAACACCTACTGGTATGCCAGGCACACTTCTAGGAGCTCAAAACTGAGCATGAACAAAATGTAAAAACCTCTGCCCTCATGAAGGGTATATACAGCGCTGTTTAAATGGCCAAAACCTGCAAACAATTTTAAAATATGCTGCTAGGAGAATGGATGAACGCTGAACTGGGTATATAGGATATATCTCGGAAACAGTGTTGGGCACTTAAGAAAGAAACTCGCAGGGTACGTACTACAGAGCCATTTGTGTGAATAAAAACAAACACTACTGTAAATTGCTTACAGATGCTTACATGGTTTATAAAATTAATGCTTCGGCTACCCACGAAACCCAGACTCAGGGGCCTGCTGGAGGGTTGGGGGTGGGGAAGCGTTAGTGAAGGAATAGGGAGGAGAACTTCAAGCAAACTCTGGAATGTCTCATTTCCTCAAAAGAAAAGCCTGAAGCAAATACACACGCTAAAATGCTAGCATTGTGCTTCCTGCACGTTACGCACATCGGTGTTTGCTTTCGCATCCTGGGTCCTTTTCAGTTTGAGCGCAAGGCGGGCAAGTTGTTGTTTTCTATTGCTTTCGCTAATTAGAAAAGAGTTGGTTGAGAGAAGGATTGAGGCCACATCCCCCAGCGACCCAGGGCTGGAGCGCCTCCGCACCGCGTCTCTGGGGTCCGGCCCTCCAGGGCACCCCGCGCGTGCAGGCGAGGCCGAGCGCGGCAGCCCCGACGGCCCGCAGTCCCCCGCAGGGGGCAGGTGCACCCGGGAGAGCCCTTGGCGCCCGCTCGCAAGGCTGGAGAGGGGCGAACGCTCTGCTTCCGAAATGCTGCTCTTAAGGGTCTACCCTGGAGAAACAAATACGTGCCAAAGGAGACGTGTGCAAATGTT